CACAACAACCCGTTCCTTATCATTTTTGACAAACCTGACCTCTTTACCATTGTTAAATGCAAGATTTTCCGCAGCTTCTTTGAATTCCTGTTTGGTGGCAAATGTCATACCCAACTTAAAGGTTGGGTCTTTCATATCAGTCTTGGCAGAGAATTTAGTCCACTTGTCAGACTCAGAATCAGATTCATGTATGGAACCATCATCTGACAAGTTAGGATCTGGGTCTACCATTGAAGCCTCAGTAAAATGGTCCTCTCCTTCACTACTGCTGCTTAACCCTCCATGAGCAGATAACTCAGCATCCTCCTTAGAAATGAAGTCTTCCAAATCAGAGTCATCCTCATCTCCAGAAAATTCTTCTAACTCTTTCTCACTGTAGGCAAAGTCACTATCTTCAGAGTCATCATCATCTTCAGTGTCACCACTGGGTTCTAATTCTACCCAAAACTCCACCACCTTACCAACATTTCCATCATTCACAATTCCCCAAACCTCAGCCTCACTATGTAGTTGTTTTAAGGACTCATCCTCATTGGAATAGGAGTACACTGTCATAAGTTTTTGGGTGCAACCAAGTTCTTGTAACTTCTCATTCAACACAATCAAACCGAACTCATCAACCTCTACATCATGAAAATTATGGATTGACCCTCCCAAGTATGCAGGTTTATCCTTGTCAAATACTTTTCCTCCATAAAACAACCTCAAAGTAAAAGTGTTTCCACATGTGCCTGAACCTGTTTTATATATGAGTTTTAAATGTTAGGTCAATGTCTTTAATAGGTTACAACAACACCATAAGTATATTTCATAAATACTACTACAAAAAAAACATGTATGGGTATAACCTTGCGTAAAGATAAAAGTGAACTGGTCCCATTTCTTAAATGGTAAAAGACAACCGGCCAAGGGAATCTCAACCAAAAAAAGCCTACCCTACCATGTGACCGCATAAAGGGAAAAAGGGAAAGGGGAAAAGGGAACCTCAACATAAAACCCCTAACATGTGCATACACTGCGAACAACAAATATATACACCTCAGTTCAGCCTTATTTCCAATACTTTCTTCCACTCTCTTAAAAAAGTTCAGCATCTTACCTTTATCAGCAACATTTGTTGGCGACCACCGTTCAGCACTTGTTCCTTCTCCTTCACGCCGACGGTCCAGACGGTTCCTCATTCTTCGAACGATTTTGGGGATTTTTCAAGGTCACTGAAGCTTTGCTGAGAGGGAGAAGAGACTTCGGTTTTTGAGGTAGAGGGAGTGGCCGTATTAACTAAACATTAAGCTCACTTAATGTCGATGTTTATTAGGTAGCCGTTTTTTAACTTAAATTTACTAAAATGCCCCCTCATTAATTGGTTTCCGGTTGACATTAGCCGGAATTGAGCCTGGAAGGACGACGGGTGGTTATGGAGATAAGGTCAAGGACTACATTTGGTTAAATTGAAAGTCAGGGGATTAATGTGGAAGTGGCATAATAGTCATGGGACCAAAAGTGGAATTTTTTCTTTATGTTATGACTGTCAAGTTTCGATCATTGTTCTAAGCATTGTCCTTTTATGAAGAGATATTATGTGATGCTAGAGTTTTTCACTGCCATTAAATAAATGATCTAATATGTATGTATACAATATTCAATAGTTCATAAATTTAGATTATTATGAATTAATTAATTTTATACTTGTATATGAATGTATAAAAGTGCTAATTAAGTCTATCATTGTGAATACTGAGTTCAGTTTTTTTGCATGTACCGAATCGAGACCTGCAGTTTGTTGGTTTTTGACGCCGAGAAGGTAAATAGTCATTTATATTCATTTCTTCAGAAAATATTGACCATTACCAAACGATGACTGAAAAAAATTGTTCGGGCCGAAAAATATGACCGGACAGAGTTTTTTATCGGCGAAAATGGCAAAAAATTAAAATGGGTGGAGAGCGCAAGGGCGGGGTAGGTGGAGGGAGTGGACAGGTCTTGGTCCTTATAATTTACTTTTGCATCACAAGTAAATTTAGTCTTATTATCTTTAAAGTATTAGTCATTTTTTCAAAAAATAGTATTGGCCATTAGCTTTTCATCATTGCACGTATCAAACACTAGTTGAACTATATAAAATTCATCTTATCATGTCAAAACTCATTTTTTTCACAAACAGGCTTACGTATATTTACGACTTGCTCGCCAAGTTTTGAGTACTGCCTTTTTTATAACGAGATATCATGATGTACTGGTGTTTCTCCCTGCCATTAAATAAATGATGTAACATGTGTGTATACATAGTGCAATAGTCCAATAAAATTAGATAATTATTTAAGGAAGAGATTACAAAGAAACCTCATGAATCAATTGTTCCAGGGCTAGAAACTATGAAAAACTCGTTCAACACCCTGTCTCAACATGTGTGTGTACATCATTCAATAGTCCAATAAAATTGGGAAATTTACCCAAATAAGACTAAATAACAATAAAATTGCAAAAATAGGAGTCCCAATTAAACATGTGTCGCGTAGGACTAAAAAGAAACCAAACTTCCAAAAATAACCTCCAGCCACGCAAAGAGAATCGAAGCTACCGTTCCCACTTTCCACTTAGAAACTGACACGGAACTCGAGCGCGCCGAAAATTGGTTTCCAAAGCATCGAGGTATTCAAAATTAAACAAAGAGATATAAATGCAAAGAGCAATCTACTAGCTCGCGAAAAACTCTTCCGACGACGAAGTGGAACTAGAGCATAGACAACGTTTAGTTCTGTTCGAAGGTTGAACGAAAATGGAAGCCTCTGATTTCCAAAATGACGACGAAAAGGAGGACTCTGATTTCGAATTGGACACGCGGAGTTCACTAGAGATCAGAATCAATTCCAAAACGGTATGTATGAGTAGAAGATTTAATATTCGTAAAAGCATTTGAATGCCATATATATTCCATGATATCTCCTTGTTTCATTTAATCGGATTGACATTCAGTGTATTATATATGGATTTCATAAAATGCAAGTTCACTAATCATTCATGAATACAAATGCTAGATATCCGAATTTGTCATATAGATTTATTAGGTTAATGTTATATTGATAAGTGAATTCCACTTTACTGGATTATATGATGGAATGCGAATGCCATAAGTAAATGTGTTTGGAAGATAGATTTTGTTAGGTTGATGTCAGATAGAGAAGTATGGAATCTGATGTGAGCATTGTGTAGTGAATCATGACATTTGAGATTGTGCAAGTGATGTGTACATGGCATATTGGTGTGATACTTTTTTTTTGCATAAAATGTACTTGGATTAGAAGTGAATGCCACTTGTCTGGATTATATGATGGAATGCGAATGCCATAAGTAAATGTGTTAGGAAGATAGATTTTGTTAGGTTGATGTTAGATAGAGAAGTATGAAATCTGATGTGAGCATTGTGTAGTGAATCATGACATTTGAGATTGTGCAAGTGATGTGTACATGGCATATTGGTGTGCTATTTTTGATTTTATTTTGCATAAAACGTACTTGGATTATAAGTGAATGCCACTTTCCTGGATTATATGATGGAATGCGAATGCCATAAGTAAATGTGTTTGGAAGATAGATTTTGTTAGGTTGATGTTAGATAGAGAAGTATGGAATCTGATGTGAGCATTGTGTAGTGAATCATGACATTTGAGATTGTCAAGTGATGTGTACATGGCATATTGGTGTGATACTTTTTTTTTTTTTTGCATAAAATGTACTTGGATTATAAGTGAATGCAACTTGCATGGATTATATATATGATATAATACAAATGCCATAGGTAAATGTATTTGAAAGATAGATTTTGTTAGCTTGCTGTTAGATAGAGAAGTCAAGAATCTGATGTGAACATTTTGTTGTCAATTTGGAAGTTATATGAAAGCCAGTAGGATGCTATGGAACATTTGTATTTTTTTAAGTAAAAAAATGACATATTGATGGCATTCTATAGTACTTTTTAAGTTTTTTTTTTAGTTTTCACAACTCTGTATTAATGATAAATTAATAGACAATGACAAGGTACTTCAAGAGGAATATGCTGGCTAAACTGGATGACATGCGTGTCAATTCATTCTGCAACCTTCTTAAAGTCATGGAAAGAGTAAGGCAAATTTTAAACCAAGAGGAAATAGCTGATTTCAGAACAACTGTGTTTGGGTGGCTGATTGATTTTGATAATATCAGTTACGTTAGTGGACAATTGCAGCTTGCCTTTGTAGCTAACTATGTCAGATATGTCAATGGGTTGGTTGACCAGAACGCAATGCGATTTCATATAAAGAAAAGTGTAGTAAGCTTCACAAAACAGGATCTAGCAATAGTTACTGGTCTGAAATTGAGTGGGGTGAAGCCAGTTATGTCAGAAAAACCAACTGGAGATATCTGGACACGATATCTTGGAGGAAAGACATTAGTGACAAGAAATGATATTCTAAAGGTGCTAAATAAATACAAAAGCACTAATGAAGGGACAATGAGGTATGATGGTGTCAAGTTAGCACTCCTGTATGTGCTTTCACATGGGTTCTTAGGAAATCAAACAGCTAGGCCAATGGAAGCTTACTACTTGAATCTGGTTGATAATTTGGAGGACTTTAAAGCTTACCCATGGGGAGAGGTTGTGTGGAATGAGTTGCGAAGTTATATGAAACAAAGCTGTGAAGCATTGGAAAACTGCACAGGTACAAGAGTTACATTCCCTGGGTGCATGATTGCATTACAAGTGTGGGCATTTGAAACCTTTCCAAGTCTGTCAAAAGCCGGTTTATGCAAAGTCATAGAAGGAAGAGAAGATATAATGCCAAGGACACTTAAGTGGGCGTTCCATAAGAAACCATCATTGGAAGTTTTTTGTGAGCTTATCTTCTACAATGAGAAGGTATGTCAATTTACGGTATATAATTATTAAATTTTATTTGAAAATACATATCTTATTAACCACTTTTTTGGCAGTTTGAATGGACAGAAATTGTTCCAATGGAACAGGAGCTTGCACTGATCCAAGAAGCAAACATAGGAGATGGACAGAATTTGCGTAATGATAACATATATGGTGGTAGAGTGGAGACTGAGGAAGGTGTGCAAAGAAAGAATGGAAATGGTGTTCCAAAGGCACAAAAAACAGTACAAAGAGGACGAAAAAAGAAGCCGAAAAGGCTAACAAAAACAGTGGAAAGTGGGAGAGGAAATAAAGAAATTGCTGAGCAAGGAACTTCTAAAAAAAGAAAGAAAGGTGCAAAAGAAAAGGACAGTGATGAAGATAGTGATTATAAGGGAGAGGAAACTGAGGACAACATGGATGACAGTGATGTTGAAGCAGGAGGGAATAAAATGATCAGAGCAATGAGGAAGCAAATGTCAAGAACTGCAAAAGTAATGAACGATGTGAAAGAAATGAAGAAAGTTCAGAAGAAGCAAGCAGTGATGTTAGCTAAAATCTTTCGGATTGTGAATGATCTGTCAGCATATGTAGTGAATAAGCAAGAAGGAGGAATGCCAAGACACATGGAGAATGTGGTAGAAGAAGAAAATATACCACAAAAAGATGAGAGGGAGGAGGAATGCCAGAAAGATGAGGGAAATGACAAAAGCACAGAAAACATTGAGAAGGAGAAGAAGACTGAAAATAGCGAAGATGAAAAGAGTGAGACAGAAAAAATGAATGCAAGTAAGGAGCTAAATGCAGGGGGGAATGTTGATGAGATAGGGAGCGACATGCCTAATTTTAACATATTTGGATTTGAATCTCAAAAAGAAAGTGAAGAAGGAAATCAAGAAAAGCTGAGGCCTGAAAATGATATAGAAGATGACACTGAGATGGAAGAGCATGGAGAAGAAAATGAAACAGAAGACTGCAAAAAGGAAGAAGAGAAGATAGGAGAAAAAGAACAAGAGGCAAGCACTGAGGTAGAAGAGCAGAGGGAAGAAATCCAGACAGAAGTCAACAATCAGGAAGGACAAAAAGGAGTAGTGAATGATGAGAAGCAAATGACAAATGATGCAACAAGCTATGATATGTGGGGAATGGGATCCCAAGAAAATTCACAGTTTGTGAAAGAGCTGTGCAACAGTGTGGATCTAATTGAAAAAGAGGCATTACTGAGAAAGTCTGAAGGAAAACCCCCTACAAACATTCCTACTGTGGTAAAATACTAATTATTTTTTAAATATTAAAATTTATTCATTTAAATGTATAATAACTTGTCCAAATTTAACAGTTGAGGGAAAAGAGAATTGCTAAATCACCCACAAGGTACACACCGGCAGGACAAACCGCGGATGCTAAAAGGAGAAGGAAGGAAAAGGCAAAGAAAAGAACACACGAAGAATTTTTGCCGCCTTCAAGAAAAATTTATGGCCCATTCTCTGAAGACCCCACTGACACACCACCTGCAGATCAAATGCAGCGACTGGCAAACTTTTTAAGCATTGGAATGCTAAAATATAGAAAGAAGGCTGAAAAAGACAGAAGATATAGGGCTGATGAAGAAAATATGCATGGCATTCCGATGTTGCTGGATATAATGAAAATTGAGTCAAAAACTTGGCTATACAACCTGTATTCCAATGAGCAGTGGCTAAATGACCAGGTATAAGTGCATTTCAATTTGTAGTAACACATAGAATGCCAGATATATAACTACCAGAATGGCAAAAGGAACATAATTGACAGAAACATAAATAACTTAATCTAAGATGAGAAAAAATTATTGGTGGATTCATAGAAATGGTTAACCTAAAGACATAAGTTCTAAGTAAACGAAATTATTTAAATATTTGATGTCCTTATAGTTACTAAGTACTTGCAACCTAGAGAAAAATAATACCAAAATTTGGAGAAAATGTCATTTTTATTATGTTTGATGTTAATAAGTGTATGCATGTATATAAATATGAATAATATTCTGATTTATGGATATTGAATTATATTATACAGCATATGGAAGTAGGAATGTACTATTTGAGTGTCAAAAGGCTTCAATACAAACTCAAACAACAGTATGCCACAAACAGAGCGTTCTTTATACAAATACTAAGGCGTGAACATGAGAAAATTCTGAAGGGTCAAGGAACTGTTCACGAAGCTGCAGATGATGATGAGATTATGCACAGTGTGCAAGGAAGTACATCAAAGTTTGCCCTACACTGGTGTGATTGCCAATTTGTGTACTTCCCTTTAAACACTGGTCAACATTGGGTGTTACTTGTGCTGGACATCAAGAACAGAAAGGTTAGAGTTTACAACTCTAGTTCTCGAAGGGGAGATTCACTGAAAGATATCCGACCATTCATCCCATGCATCAAAGTCTTGCTTCCTAAAATAATGGACTACTACAATGTGCATGCTAATTCTGGAGAGGAGCCAATGGGAGGGAAAGAATTACAAATAGAAGCTGTAGAAAGCTGCCCACAACAGACTAACGCGTAAGAAATGCAAATTAAAATATGTTTTGTGCAATATTAAATGGGTGATTATTCAATGTGTGATTAAATATAGAATTCTATTTGCTTACAGGGGGGACTGTGGAATGTTTGTACTCAAGATTGCTGAATTCCTAATCATGGATATGGAGCTTGATGGAATAGATGCTGATGAAATGCCAATGTTTAGGCAAAAAATGGCGACAGAGCTTGTTATGTATAGTGAAAAGAGAATGAGTGAGGCTAAAGGAGTGCAGATGCCAAAGTTTATAAGGGAATAATGATACAATGACAAGATGTGTTTCTGCATATGTTGCAAGACATGTGTCATTCAGACAATGTATGGTTTTATGTCATAATGTTCGTTTTTTTGTGAAGTCAATTTGGAACTATGTGTAATATGCTTAAACTTTGATTCATGTGACTGTTTTGTGTTGGATAATTCAGATTAAATGTGATTGTGTTTTCTATTTCAATAGAATGATAAGTGTTCTTTGATAATAAGATATATGCAGGGAAATAGGGGAAAATATGGCATTACAAACTACAAAATGCCATTTTATATATTAGAGTTTGGCAAACTTATGTATACTTCAGTTACATTTGTAGACGTAATGTATATATCTGTTTCCTATTCCAATTCAATGATAAAGGCTCTTTTATTAAAATAAGTGTGCATTGAAAGAGGTCAAAAGATGACATTACATACAACTAAATGCCATTTTATATATTACGATTTTGCTAAATGGTGTTGAATGTGTGAAACAAATAGTTTTATCATTTTAAAGTACTAATTTGATATATTCATGCCTTTTACTTAATGACATAAGTAGGATAGCTAAGTGAATAGTTTGCATCAGTAGAAAAGATGATGTAAATAGAATATATAATAACAAACTAGAATTAAGATGATGGAGAATAACAATATAAATAAAATATTAATCTGGATTAACTTTATACAAATATTAAAGGAATATAGAATTTAAAAAGCTACATATACATTCTGATGATGTATAACCAAAGTTGAGTAAGAACTAGGAAAAGTGTAAATGCAAAGCAAATGGCATAAATGTGCTACATAACAAAAAATGAATGTATAGAAAGCGAATGATATACATCATCAAAAAACGTGCAAGAACAAAGATGTATAGAAAACAAATGACATATCACTTCGCTTTAAAAAGCAGAATAGTGTTCAATACTAAACAGTGTAGAGTACAACTTATTAAGTGTAAAAAAATTACAGGATGTATCTTGTCCAAAGCTGGGAAAACAAGTGTAAAACTATCAATTCTTGGCCATCGGAATAGCATTAGAGCAAGTCTTCTTATTATGGCCAACAACATTGCAACGAGAACACTTTCGGTGCTTTGAACCACGATATTCTCCTATTGATGGAATTCTTGACTTTTTAGGACGCCCAGGTGGACGCTTCAAACAGCTAGGAGGCTTGCAACGAACACTTGAAATATGAGAAGGAATGACCCAATCTTCAGAATCACCAATAGGGTGCATTATACCACTCCAAGTTGCCAACAACATATCACGTGTGTAATAAGGAGATATATAATTGTAACATGATAAGCCCGGACGAGAACCAATTGCAGCAACAGCATGCACACAAACAAAATGGTCCAATTGAAATTGCCCACAGCTACAACTTTTGGAATTAAGATTCACAACAAAGCATCTACACTTTCTATCAATAACCTCAAACTCGTACGCACAAGATGGCTTCACCTAAAAATAAATAAAAACTTTTATAAAAAACCAGATAAAAAAATGGAGTTACATACAAAGAGATAAGAGGATATGTAGTAGGAGTACAGACGTGGCATTTGGTATTCAAAGATGGAAATCCAAAGCGTAAAATGCCAAAAACAGTGCATGGCAGAATACTATACTAAAACAGATAAAAAAATATGGAATTACAAACAAAGAGATAAGAAGATATGTAGCGGGAGTAAAATAGTGGCAAATGATTTTCATAGATGGAAATCCAAAACGTAAAATGCCAAAAAACGTGCCTGGCAGAATACTATACTAAACAAGGCAATTAAATTGAAAAAGCACAACAGAGAACGAGATGAAATACCTTCATGCACCTTGATTCCAATTGTAAAGCAACAAGAACCTTTTCATTTTTTTCAGACAATATGGTATGTGTAGATTCGGCTTTTTCCCTTCGTTCGGTAAACCATTCTTGCATTCTTTCACGCAAGAAATCAATAAGTTTGGACACACAGTATTCTCGTGCACAAACATTAACGCTGTTCAATGACTCAGCGCAATTTGAGGTCATGACATTAAATCGACTTGGTCCAGCCAAACATTTTGCCCATTTCTGGCCTCCAATTTTTTCAAGCCATGCACGCATCCTAACATCTTCAGCATCTAACAATGATAAATACTGTTCATACTCCTTCACAGTTGAGGCCATATATGCAGCTCGAAACTTCCAACCCAAATCTTTAGAAGAGCCTCTAAATTTTGAAATCATGTTGCGCCGGAGGTGCTCAACACAGAATCCATGGCTGGCATGTGGAAAGACTTTACGGGCAGCACTAAGAATACCCTTGTGCCTATCAGATATAATATACATATCATCGCGATATTGAATACAAGCAGACACCTTAGATAAGAACCAATGCCATGATGCTTTACTTTCCGAGTCACAAATAGCAAATGCAATAGGAACAATTTGATTGTTTGCATCTTGTGCACAAGGTGTCAACAATGTCCCTTTATAATAAGCTTTCAAGAATGATCCATCAACAATAAGAACAGGCCTACAATGCTGCCACGCATTTATCCAAGGAGACAAGGAAATGAAAAAATATTCAAAAACATCACCATCCCCTATAGTGAGAGTAATCTTAGACTCTGGATTAGTCTTATCAAGCATGTATCCAATAGAAGGCAACATTTGGTAGGAATCAGCATCAGAACCAAATTGCATTTCCATTGCTTGTTTACGGGCTTTCCATGACTTCTTATATGACATGGAAATTCCATATTCCATGCTCATATCAGCCCTGATTTGTTTCGGTTTGTATGGGACTGTAGAAGCGTCCAAAAACTTATGAGCAACTAATTTTGCAATGACAGAAGACGTAGCTTGTCTATGTTTCCCTTGCCTAAAATCAATGGAGCAAACATGAACAGGATCAAACCTGAATAGGAGCAAATGAACAATAACCATTGTTAAGATACAAGACATAACATGGCATTTTATAATTAAAAAACATAAACCAAATGCCATCATAACTGATTGCAGGGAAATAAAATTATATAAATGTGCAGATAAGGTAAATTAAAAGATTATTTGTGTAACTAACAATAATGAAACACAAAAGAAAAGCATAACAAAAGTCAAATGCAAAAAAACCAAAAAGAAAAATGAAGTTATAAAAGAAGCAATGTAAAAGATGACTAAAATAAAAGAGATAGAAAACAGTAAAGGATAGAAGAAGTCACCTGCGGATTTGAAACATTTCAACGCCATCTAATTTCACGGCACGAACACTCCATTTACAATTTTTGGCCACACAAATAACATGTAAACAGATTTTCCTTGAGGTTAGAGTTCTGTATTGAAAACCATTAGTAATGGCATACATCTGCAAATGGTATTTCAGCTCTCTCTTATTCAGGTATATGGCATGAAGAACAATGCAAGTTGGATGATGGTGAGTGATGATTTCTACATTATGGAAGTTATACTGAGGTTGAGGTGAGAGTGGGAGAGGGCTATCTGACAAAGAATCACTGTCTTCCAAATCTGAGGTGCTTGCGTTGTTCATGGTTTCTATCATATCAATGTCAGATGTGCAAGAGATAGGGTTTGATGTGCCAGAAACAGTATGTTGAGCATCACCCAAATCAAACTCAGAATCCTTATAAAATTGCATGCCATGAGAAAGGTTTTGAATAGAAGGAGTATTAGCAGAAAAGTGTGACTGTTCAGATGGCTTAGGTAATTGTATAGGCTGAATGGTAAAAGCAGGTCTAGGGAAAAACTCTACACATAAAGGATACTTATGAGAAGCAGGTTGCACACACTTAAGCTGAAGGTAAAATCTGAAAGTCAACTCATCATTAACAATAACAGGGGGTGGACAACTTTCAACCAAGTAGGACAACTTAAAAAGATGATCCGGTTTATACTGAAGAATGACCGGAGTGAACATCTGAATGAATGATGAATACGTTGCTAGATAATGAACATGAACAAAACAAGTGTCTGTATGGGTGAATGTAAGGACAGAATTCCAAGTACCATTCAACTTCAACATAATAAGTATCTCTGAATCCATGTTACCAGTAAAGTATCTACAATGAAAAGGGAAAACAACAATAAGTGTACTAAGCAACAATGTGTCAGAAAAGGACAATTAATGACAGAAAATAGCAAACAAATTCAGAAAATTTGGAAATCAATAAAGATATAATTGTAATTGTAGCAAAAATGAAAGTATTTCACAATTACATAGCAATCTGACAGTTCAAAACAAAAAATTACAAATTAGCAGTTATGATCAAGAGCAAAACAAAAAGAATTGAATAAGCATAACACTTAAAACATGAAGAAAAGCACGAATGATAGTGCAACAATTAAGCGTCACAGAGATCAACATAAGAACAAATATACAGAAATATAGAATGACCTACATGTGTAGTTGAAAACAAAGCAGATAATAAACACGTACAAAAGGTAATGTATAAATAAAGAGAGATTAATGTGCAATCATAACTAAAATATCAAGTTACAAATTCAAAAACAATATGAAGAATTTAGTCCATGAACATAGCGTTGAAAAATTAGATGAAGATGAACGTTTGAAAAAGGACGAATTGATTAACTCGTACCAGCAAAATAGTTGACGAACCTCACGAACAAGAGTAAGATGGATGAATTTCGTCGTTCTTGGATTCAATCCAACACAACAACTACGACTTGCGGAGTGATTCTGAAGACCATCATGAACTGCGAAGAATGAAGAAGAGACTTGCGAGCCGGAAGAGAATCGATTTCTAGCAACTAAAAAAACGGAAGGTAGTTGGCGGTGGAATTGCGTGGCAGGCTGGCAGGTTTCTAAAATTTTAATTGAGGGTAATTAAGACAATTGACAACTACACGGAAATAGGAATAGGAGTAAATGACTCCTAAATTGGGAATATTTTATTAGCAGTCCTATTATTGATTTTAGGAAGTTTTGAACTCCTATTTGGGGCTATTTTCCCAATAAAATTAGATAATTATTCAAGAAATAGATTACAAACAAACCTAAAAAATAAATTGTTCCAAAGCTAAAAACTATGAAAAATTTGTTCAAAGACTTGTCTCTAAACTCCGTGATTTAAAAATTAAGCCGTGCACAGTCGTGTACACAACATGCGTGATCCGTACATGGTACTTAAATCTCCGTCGCCTTCCTGCCCACAGCGTGCACAACTGATGCGCTACCCGTGCCCGACTCGTGCTATGTACAAATAAATATAATCATGTTACCTTTATAGTAAGCATTGGCTATTAGCTTTTCCGCATTGGGAGTATCAAATGCCAATTGATCTATACGGAGTATTAAGTTCAGATTTTTATGCTTAGACTTCCTTTTTCGCGCTGTTCTTTACGTCATGAGTATCAAATTTTACTATTTGAAGTATTGTCCTTTTATGAAGAGATGTTATATATCGGGAGATAATTTTTGGGTCATGCCTCATAGAGCGAGCAGAGAACTCCTATTTCAGCATTTGAGGATTTATGGGACTCGGACACAAATGAGGATATTTGCAACAAGGCTCGCTTGGTCACGAAGGAGAACTGTTTGCCCACTCAAAATCTCAACACTCAAATGAAATTATACAGAAAAAAGCACCAGCGATCACATCCAATGAGAACGAGATCCCAATCACATGTGGAGTTTTCCTAGCTTAAGAAAAAACTTGCTCTTTTTCAGGGAGGGCGTGTTTTACTTGTACTTGGGGTTGGGCTCTTTCTTCTTATTCTTCCTTTGTTTTACTTGTACTTGGGGTTGGGCTCTTTCTTTTCGTTTTTTGTACTCTCCTTTGCTGATTCGCTAATAAAATTTTATCTTAAAAAAAGAAGAAGAAGAGATGTTATATATGTGATGCTAGAGTTTTTTCATTGTCATTAGTTTAATACTTGTATATGAATGTATAAAAAAGCTAATTAAGTCTGTCACAATGAATATTGAGTTCGGTTTCTCTGTATGGACCGAATGGAGACCTGAACTTGGTTGGTTTTCAACTACGAAAAGGCAAATGTCATTTATATTCATCAAAACTATCATCGACAAGGTTGTTTTTACTCATCTATTTAAAGAAATTAAACGTTAAAAGTAAAAAATTCCCCAGTTAGAATTGAAATAAAAAATTTAAGGCCTGTAAAATCTTGTAGCAACAATTTCTTGTCATGTAGCCCTCCTAATAAGCCGTCCAATTTCCAGAACTTTCTCTGGGAGGTACGGGTAATCGACACCGCCCACTGTAATAAAGTACACCGAAACACTCGAATCTTAAGAAGAGTCCATCTTACGATGCATACAATATGATTATTAGTGCATCCCAAAAACCACATGAATCAATCGATCACTTCTTCACTCTTCTAAAAAAATAATTTCTAAGAAATAATAACGTACTTTTGCCAAAAAAATCACATACTTCTAATTAAATAAAACTTGTTTATTGAAATGTGATATCTTTTTTTTCCTATAAAAATACTATAGTGAAAGTGTGTGATATCTTAATATGTAGACATATAGTAGTGATTAATTATAGTTACATCCTTAGTTGTAGTAAATTTCATTGTAACTTTTACATTATACTGTAATATTTTTCACCATACATATAATTAATTTTATCTTAGTAATATTTTTGAATAACCATCGTTTTTTTATCGTAAATAACCATCGTTTTAATAAGTGATTTTAGAGAAGTCACTTAATAATAAAAAGAACTTAATAATAAAAAGAAGAAAAATGTTTGGTGTACACAAAATGTGTACACCATTTTTGTACACTTGTCTGTCTCAGGCAGACAAGTTGTCTGTCACAGACAACTCATATATAAGTTGTCTGTGACAGACAACTTGTCTGCCTGAGACAGACAAGTGTACAAAAATGGTGTACACCTAGCAAAACCCTAAAAAGAAATAGTCTTAAGAAATGATTTTAATAAGACAAAAGTTGATCATGTAATTTTTGTCTAATAAAAAAAGTGAATAACAATTTAAAACACCACCTTATACTTACATTTTGATTTTTAATTTTGAAGTATTTAAAATAAGAAAATGCTTTACGAGATATAATACACAGAGACCGGACATTTACGAGATCAATTTACACCCTAACAAAATCAGATCATACTAGATTTGGATAGTTATAAAATACACAGACACCAGACATTTACCAGACCAAATCAGATCAGACCAGATCAGACCACACCAGACTAGAAAATTTCAGTTCAAGTAAGGATGTTTGACTGTTCTCAGTCCCAGACCAGACCAAACCTGACCAGATCAGACCAGACCAAACCAAATCATATCAGATCAGACCAGACCAGACTTCCATATTTATAAAAGTGGAAATTACCCATATGAGCCACTTTTACTCCTATTTCATTTATGACTCACCGTCTTTTTTCTTTCATCTCTAATCTTTCTTCTTTTCACTTTTAACTTTTTTATTTCAAGATTGTCTAAACTTGAATATAACCTCACTAATATATGTCGGTATCTCCTTATGTTCGTCACTTTATCTTCCTCGAAGCATGACCGTTTTTCTCTCTCTCTCCAACCAGTGGAGATGAAAGCCTTACAATTGCGACAGTAATTCCGCTGCTTCTAGGCTCTATTGCCATCTCTTCTCGGCTCTGCCGCCGTCGCTTCTCGGCTCTGCCGTCGTCGCTCTTCGGTTCTATCACTCTGCTGCCAAAATTAAGAAAAGGATGGATTTCGACCTAGTTGCCTCTCATCGAGTGCGAAATAGATGTTATTAAGGTCCATCTTATATCTAGCCAGAGAGGTTTAATCCTTGAAGCAGCTTTCATGTGTGGACAGTTTAATACGTAGTGTAAATTTACTTCATCATTTAAACTAAAGAGGTAAAGGATTGTATATAGATATATACATAGTATGTCTTTTATTTTGTTCTCGTGTGACGACGCTAGAATTCTCTGCATTAGATTCATCTATGAAATCTGATTGATTCGTTTTAAATTGTCAGTTGTATTCGAAATGGGGACTGCTCTCATAATTTTTAATTTTTGTAGGTCCTGAAACCCTCCAGTTACTCTGCTCACAAATTTCAACGGAGCCGCAATCGAATTTGGGACTGGCGGCGGCTTCAACCAGGGTGGGGTTTTGGCCAGATGCGGATGAATTTCTTAGGTCTTGGTGCAGGTAAAGAAGTTATCCAAACAATAATTTTATAACTCAAATTACTATTGATGAGAAATCAAGCACTAATACATTCTCCCAAATTTCAAATGTTGTAATAAAGGTGGGGCCTGGGGCATTCAAATGGGGCTTGGGTGGTGGTTTGGTAGTTGCTTTGGCACTAAGTATAGGAATTTCAGGTTACATTTTTAGTGTTCTATGCATGAAGGTGAAGATTATTTGAACCATAAAGATCATATCATATACTCTGTACTAGAAAAGGAAGTTAAAAATAGATAATAAAGGTCAATGTTAATGTATATTTGTTTGTTTGTTTGCTATTGAATTGTTTTTCCATTGTTGGTAAGAGAAAGAGAGAAGAGGCTTCCCAAACAATGATGGAATGCTTGTTGTGAACATCTGTAACTAGAGATCCATCTTTCTTTGCTTTTCTCCTGTGCTTTGCCATATTATTGTGATTTATGAACTTGGTGTGATATAATGTTGTGGATTTTTAGGGTCAAGCTGCAGACTGCAATAGGATCAGTGTCAAGCTTTGGAACTTTATCTTCTGAGGTTCACATCCATCATTGTCGTATAGTGTGTTTTGGTAATTGTGGTAATTGAATCTTCTGAGTTAATTTTTTTTCAAAT